TTTGAACAGGAGTCTTTTCAAAGGGAAAGGTAATCAAAGGTGATAATTCAAAATTATCCCATTTTTTTTTTTAGCATCTCTACCAAAAATATAACAATTATTAAAATGAAAAAAAATTAAAATTCTTTTTAAAAAGTTTCACATTGGAAAATGACCTTAAACTTAAAAAAAAAAAAAAATCCTTCTTAAAAACAGGAACAGGATGAATTCCAAAATCGCACTGAAAAATTATAAGTAATTAAAGAAAAGAAATAATTGTGGAGTGTTTGTTTTTTTGTGTCTGAAAGAAAATAAAGTTTTGTTTTATTTTATTTTATTGTTTTTTATTTTATTTTTTTTTTTTTATAAATTATGCAAACATCAACTATCAGAACAATTTATTTTTTTGGAGTTTATTGAATTATTTATTATTTTAAGGCATGAGATGGATTTTCCCTATGTTCACACTTGATATTGCATGAATCTTTTACTGAAATAACATCTGCAGGTATTTTTCTTTCTGTAAAATGTAAAAATATTCCATGAACAGTTAACTCCCCCCCCAAAGTAAACATGATTGCAAGGAATAAAACTGACCCCCCCCCCCACAAAAAAAATATTTCCACTAAGTTTTCTAATAAAATCAGTATTTAATAATTAATGAATAAGTTAAGTATTTTTAAAATTTCGTTTGAATTGAATAATTTCCTGGTTCTTGGCAAATATTTTAAAACAGGAGGTAGTGACTTTTTTTCTTTTCCTTTTTTTTTTATTTGCTTTCATTTTGGAAAAAAACTTCATTCATTTGCTGGTGCCTAATATGAATAGAATTGAAAAAATTTTCTTTCCCTCTCTCTCTCTTTCTCTTTCTTTCTAATTAAAAAAACTTATTGGATGCAATTAAATATTTTATGACATCAAGCAAATAAAATAAAACCCCAATGAAAAAATCAAGTGTTATTTAACTAGTTTTTAATAAATTTCTTTTTTAAATTCAATGTAGCATAAAAAATTAAATTAAGTTTTATAAATGCATATAGTATTCAAAAATGACTATTAATCTGTTGGTTACATAAGTTTAAGGATATTTTTTTTAAACATACCAATTTCTGGACTGTGTTAATTCGGTCCCTCTGTATTCTATTTAAATTTTACAGGTGTTTTTTCAAAGTCAGATTGACAATGTTTTTTTTTTGTTAACCTTTGACATTGATGACTGCTCACAGGCTACTATAAGTAAATAAATGTTAGTCACTGTTTTAACAAAAAGTAAGCATTACTTTTCTAGCTATGTTCCAAATAAAACTAACATTTGCTTCATGAAGACATTTTAATTAGATTATTTAAATGCATTAAGCTTTTTTTTAATAAGTCCATCATGGACCTACTGTTTTTAGCTAGCACACACTTCCTTGGGTAACATAAGAAGAGTGTCACTTTAAAATTATTTTTTTATGACTACTGTATGTAAACTTAATATATATTCTAATAAAAGTCACATTTTAGATAGGTACTACCAAAACCAAAATCATGTGCATTTTTGACAGACGAAAAAAATCAATATCCACAAAGGTTTTTAAAATCTACAAAAAAAAACAGGTAAGATAAAATTAATTGAAACTTTCAGCAATTATTCATTAATGAAAGAATTCTATATTGGATTTTAAAAAATTTTGTTGAGTATTTTTTTTATATCAATTATGCACTTTTCTCAACTCGTGCCTAACCTGTGCTAGAAAATTAAGGTCCTTTTTTAGATGTTCCTAATTTTTACAATGATGTTCACTCTGTACAAAACCCAGGAGCCACTCAAGGTAGAGGTTTACAGAGTAAAAGGCACAGTTCATGTAGATATGTAAGGAAGATAACAGTTGAACTTGACCTTAGACATGAACAGATTAGTAGTTATCAGGAAAGCATCCTCCTGGGAGTCAGTTTCCTAAAGCAACAGTTCATGAGAAGTTACCTACATCACTACAATTTGTGTGACATAGCGGGTCTTAACTATGAAGTTTAGAACTGGTGGAACTAAGGAATGTAGTTCATCTGAACACTTTTCATGGAAATAGCAAGAGAATAGCAAGAGGCTTACGATGTTTCATCTGTAGAAAGGGGTTGTAGGATGGGAGATAATTCACCACCCACAAGGACATGGAGACACTTTTGAACTCTATCTAGACTGGAAATTGAAGACTGGGCAGCTCCTGCTTATATATGACTGCAGTAATCCAATTTGGGCCTGATGTGGCTTTTGTAAAGGTAGAGGATCGTAGGAGGAGTCAGGTATTTACTGGAGTGGTACAGGTAGCTGACTGTTGATTAGAAGAAAAAAATTAATATTGACCATGAGCACATGAAAATACACTTTTCTCAAAAGAATGTATATTTAAAAAAAATCTACCTAGACAAGCTTTTATTCAAGGCTAAAATTTTTAAAATAGTAAAAGTAAAATTTTTATAATTTTTTTGTGAAAAAGTGATATATTTTTGTAGTATGATTTTAAAACTGTTCCAGATCTTTCTCTTTGCTGAGAAACTTAATATAAAATAGATGTTTGAAAAAATGAAAAGTTTAATGTCATTTTCAAGTGTGAACATTTTTTAAAAAGAATTTTTTTTTCATTTTACTAATGTTTGATTCTTTAGTTCTACGGAAGATCAGAAATGAAAATCAAATTCTGAAGAGTAACAATCCAAGAGTGAATGAAGATGTGTGTAGGAGGAATAGCCCTTTTTTGCCACCCCAAATTACTAAAAAATTTTGACTAATCTATTCATGCTGATAATATTTCCAGGTTAATACAGTTTTAGTTGTCATAATGCTAGAAATACAGTAAAGTACAGTAAAAATCACTTAGATACCATAGAATAAATTAAGGGTTTATAAGTGGTCTGAAAAATATTTCCACAGATTTTAATAGAATAAAGTTTTCAATACAAAATTAATTAATTAGTGTTGAACTTTTAATTAAATTGGATAATTCCTTGAATTTTGGTAATTTTTTTTTTAATCTTAGTAAAAAACTTAATATCAACCATGCACATACTGAAAATATAGTCTGAAATTTTAAAAGAATTCAAGAAAATTATTTTTTATGACCCATTTCTGACACTCAGTTTCAATAAAATATATTTTGTTTTACGGAAGAAAAAATTCTAGTATATATTTGTTTGAGAAAAAAAATAACATTTTTACAGTACAATTTAAACAGTTTTATGACATTAGTAGCAAAAAGAAAAAGAAAAAAAAAAATAAACACTCACCTGAAAATGAAAAACTTAAAAAATGTAATAAATGCAATGGCCACGAGGGGGCTAAAGATGTCATTTATTAACTTTTAATCCGCTGTTATGCCAGTGTCTATGCCTGCAATAAAAAGTGGGATGGATGAATTTATGATAAAAATTTTTTTTTTTTTAAATTCCAAGTTTTCAATTTACAGCATGAATAATTGTAAAGTGGACCCTTACTTTGTGTCCATAGCTAAATTGAATCTTTTATAACTTCCCCACCACTACCACTGCTTTTGTGATATTTAATTTAAATATGATCATAAAGTTCATCAGGGTAATTATTCAACGAATTGATTAATAGATCTCCCACAAAAACATGTCCTAGGTATGATGATAAACTACATCTGTATCCTGGGTAAGACAATAAACTACATCCAACAGCAAGCCTCTGATCAGGAAGTTTTGAGAAGCATGGAACCACCTCTTAGTTGCTTGTGTTCCCAGATCCACCCTGACCTAGAGTAGTAGCACCTGTTCGGGTTCCAGCTATGGGCAAATAGTTGATCCCCAAACTGGGTCAAAACACTATGAAAATGTAAAAATAGGTTTTAATACCAGTAACACATTTTTGCAAAAGCTTATTACCAGCAATGAATTTTTGAAGAAAAAAATTATTGCCAGCAGTACATTTTTGAAAAAATATTATCATACTTATTATAAAACCCAGGTTGTGTGTGTCTGTACGTTTATATATTGGATCAGATTTCCTACATTTTTCAACCGATTTCAACAAAACTTCACAGGACTATGTAAAATTACCTTGCGGTGGTTCTGACAGCACCAAAAATTGGAAAAACAATTGTTTTTGCATGAAATCAATTTGAAAACACAATTAAGAGGCAAATGAAAGGGGGACAACTCATATCGAGTTATACTTATTATAAAACCCAAGTTTTTGTGTGTGTGTGTGTGTTCATTTTATATATGGGATCAGATTTCCTACATTTTCAACCGATTTCAACAAAACTTCTTTTTTTTTTTTTTTGGCAGGTAGTGTTTCTTATTGTCTTACACTTTTCTTATTTTTACATTCAGAATGCTTTAAAAATTCCATTTACAAGACAATTGTTTATAATAAAATTCTATTCAATCGGTAGACTCATAACGATTGAAAACAATGCTTTTGTTTGAGTTTTGGTTTGACCAATTCGTAAAAAAAAACAAAAAAAAAACTAATTAAGACATGTGTGTCCGTCAACCTTAAACAATAATCTTTGTCAATTTTATTTTTCAGTCTTTATGATGGTCGATACTTGATCTATCTCTTACTGTTACATCCCCAGGCGATGCTGGGATCTACTGCGAGTCAGCAATAAAAAATCTTGTCAGTATTAACCTATTGAGGTTGATATACCTTAAAACGAATCAAACCAAATTTCCACAAAAACTATGTTCAAATCCCAGAGCTTCAGCTTCTTTGTCATCTTATATATGTTATGTCCCTTTAGAGGACGGACAATAACAGCTCTCCACAACTTCCTATCCTTTGTAGCTTTTAGTAAATTTTGTCTTTTTGCTATCTCTCCTAAACCCTGTTCTTCCAACCATTTACACATGCTTGTCATGTAGGTTATACCCTCTGTCTCTCTTGCATTTAATATGTCCTGTTGAGTGTCAGATTTTCCAAGCCCTCTTTCCTCATTATGTACCCTGGGTTTTTTAAGATTTAAATTAATAAACTTTATTTACATTTATGGAAAAAAAAAATTCTTTCACTTTATTTAAAGGTGACAAATATTTTACAAAGCTGTAATGCAGAAAATGAAATTGTTGGGGTCTGTGTTCAAATGACAGAAGACATTCCAGCTATTTTACTTGGGTAAGACAATTTTTATTTATGTTCTTATATATATATGAATGATCATATTGATTGATTTGTATTTTTATGGTTTATCAACCTTTTACAGGTTATTTAAAGCCAGAAAATATTTTTAAATTGTAAATTTTTTTTTTAAGCTTAATAATCATTTACTGATACAAATGCTAATTATTAACCCATAGCTGAGGGGAGAAGTGATGGATTTATATCTTTCCCAAGGATGTTTGAAATAAAGTAAATGTTAATGAACCCAAATAGAATTGAAACTCAGCTCTCTGATTTCCAATTCTGAGCAATTATCTATTACACCACCCTCACATCCAAGCTTATAGCACCTGGTACTCCCAAACAGTCACCAATTTAGATATCCACCAGGCTCAATGTTGCTTAACTTTACTCGTTAACCTATTTGTTTACTTCTCTATTATTGTTTTTATTATTATTATTGCTATTTGAACGGATAATTATAAGGAAACTATTGTTTTGCATTTATTGCAAATCAGTCAACATTAATTTTAGTACATTTTACAAGAACAAAAAAATAATTACCATGAGGCTCTAAAGTTTAAACTGCACAAGTTTTCCACAAAAATATCTAAGACTAGCAGCATGGCCCGGTGTTGCCCGTACTTGATTCAAAAATCGTACGACTCATACAGCAATCGCTATCACTTGACTTATATATTGATATTTTTGCCCTTCCTTGCCTTCAAAGGAGTGCCCTTTGCCATGCTGATGTTGCTACATGCCTTACTTCTTGCCTATCTCACACTATGAATTTTTTCTAAGCTCTATACTAAACATTAAATCTGTTACAAAAAAAGAACTAAACAAAATGAACACAAAACGATTAGCTTTAATAAAGGACTCATAACTGGAAAAACCGAATGAAAAGAGAATGTTAACAACAAATACTTTTTCACGCCCAACCCAGTTCTGCGGAATCAGAATCAACATTGAGTTTAAGCAAGCGAATGAGCCAATTGGAGTAAAGTGCCATGCAGATTTAAATTTTTCCCACTTGTGATGAATGCAGCTATCGATTTTTTTTGCATGCTAGCATGCTAGTTAACATTCGTGTCAGTCAGCTGTTGGCTCACACACTGGCCAATAGAATCTTCCTGCCTATTTCGTGGCAGCCAGCTATAGGCTCTTTTCTAGCCAGTACAAAATGGCCGCAAACTACATGAAAACTGCCATAGAAGCATGAAAAAAATCGATTATTTCCACTATATTGGGAGTTGGGAAATGCAAAGTCAGTCTTGGCCTTCCGCTTAACTTGGAGCATGTGCATGTAAATTTTGGCACAAAATCCGTAAAATTATTAAAGCCGTGCATTCTGAACACACACACACACACACACACACATCCTGCCTTTTATAGATAGATTCATAACATAATAATTTACTGTGTTTTTTGTATCACTTCTTTTCCTTACATGAATGTAAGGTAAAATTTATCTTTTTAAATGGCAACCTCTTGAAATCATTAAAGATGCAGTCCTTCAAAGTCCTAAATAGTTTGGTTATAATTATCTGTTCAAAGATACAGTAATTTTGAAGTCCTTCAAAAATCTCAAAGAATTGGAAGACACAGTCCTTCGAAGTCCTTGAAGATGCAGTCCTTCAAAATCCTCAAAGATAAAGTCCTTCAAATTTATTCAAATGTCTTTTGCTTAACTTGTGATATTTACCTGAATTACATACAAAAATTTCAAGTTTACACTACTCTTCCCAATATCTGTCTATATTTCTGAGATGAGGTATTATGTACACTATTTATATTATTCAGACTATTGTCCTCATCTTTATTGCCATATATTTATTACAACATTTATATAAAAAACTATGCTTCCGGCTTCTTCAGGTGGTTGGAATGTTGAACTGAATTTTTATTTCACTCAAAAATTGTTCAAGGACACATAAAGGCGTTGGTTAGAAAATATATGACAGGACCCAAATAGTGTAGTTCAATGCCTTTTAAAAAAAAGAAAAGAACTTGGAAAGAATTAACAGGAATAACTGATTAACTGACATCCATTAAAATTGGAACTGAACAGTTGAAACCTAATTAAAAATTAAAAAATTTGGTTAAAATTCCAACTTTTCTGAAGGCGGAGGCAAATAAGGCAAAATTGTAATAAATGTGGCAAAAAAATGAATAATATTCAAATAATGTAAATCAAATGTAAAAAACAATTTTAAAAAAATAAAAATAATTAAAACATGTAAACGGTGTGGTAAATGTTGGCAGCAAAAGATGAGGACAATATTCGAATAAATGTAAATAGTTAAAATACCTTTTTTAATTGTTTGGTTTAAGAAAAACATTTTTTACATTGATTTATTAAATGCATTTAGTTCTTTGTTTCACTATTTTTAAAATCTTGAAACCAACATAAATAATATTGTCCTTCTAGAACATTTTATTTTTCTCAGAAAAGGACTGTTTTTTTCATGTCTTTTACAGTCTTCCAGGGAATTTTTTTTCCATCATAAAGATTACAATAAATAGTAATATATGGAATATCTTGTTATCACTATTTCTAAAATGTTCAAATAGTCACCATTTTTAGGGAATAAAATTAGTCTTTCAGTTTTCTTTCTACTAGAATTGTGCATAATTGGAAATATTTATATTTTGTTATTTTCTACTTTCAAAACCATAGAATTATAAATATGTTTCTTTCAGTTTTTATTTTGTATAATAAATAAATTCTTTATAAAAATTCTTTATAAAAATTCTTTATAAAGTTATCTTATACATGCATCTATTTTTCAGTATTCTTCCAGTACCAGCAGCGTTTTATTTTTTTGAACCAAATCCTATTGAATTAATTTCTCAGGCACTTCAGAAACTTTCAGTTGGTATCTTGATTGTTGATATGCATTATCTAAAGGTAATAATTGAATTATTTTTTACAGTTTTATTTTTTGAATGTTAATATTTTATGGGATAAATGGCTTTCATATAACTTAATATCAAAACATTTTCATAAGATTCAATGCTGCAATACAAAATTAGATGTTGAAACATTTTTGTAATCATAAACAACATGACTTTGTAGATTAAAATATACAGGGGTCCTCGACTTTTTTTTTTTTAAAGCGTTTCACCCCAAGCAAGGCGGGAAGCCACTAGGACGCAAAGGGTTACAGAAAATTTGGAGCAAGATCAGATAGGAGTGATAGAAGAAAGGATGAGGAGAAGGGTAGTGGATAGATCAAGGCAACTGGAGATGTTGATTGACATTACATTTGACTTAGTTCCGTTCCTATGATGTGTCATAACACATTCCATGTAAGTCAGAAAGTACCCACAATTTTCCATGAATAAGCACTTACGTCATTCACCTATGCTAATGCAATACTAAAGTAATAATCTAGGACATAACAATACATTTCTATGACATATCTTAACATAATTAGTACTAAATAAACACATGGAGGATGTAATACATATAATGAAATGAGTTTTAAGCTGCTTGTATATTTATTACCACTGAGGTCATTGGATCTTGGTAGATAAGATGACAAAGCATGTGAACTTTTTTCTCTTGTAATACTCAGAAGAAGCAGCAAATTTGGGCAAGAAAGAAAAACAGACACTTGTTTGTTTTGTCTTTTTAATGTTTTTATCAGGAATTCACCAACTTATAGTTTAACAAGAAAATGTCTTCATCACTTACAAACCAAGATCAATGATGAAGAACATGCATATATATATATATGTGTGTGCTATATAGTAAGTGTGTGTGTATATAGTGAGTGTGTGTGTATGTATATAGAAAGTGTGTGTGTATATAGTATGTGCATGTATGTATATAGTAAGTGTGTGTGTGTATGTGTATATATATATATATATATACACACACACACATACTACATATGTAGTATGTAAAATATATATATATATATATATATATATATATATATATATATATACACACACACAATGCACACACATACATACTACATATATATAGTGATCTCATTTCACAATCCTCACACTTGCTCCATATGTGGCCTCCTTTGTAAATCACCAATGGTCTTAAATGCCACTTAAGATTGTTACACAAAATTTCATAACTGAATCAACTAAGCTGTCAGATCATCATACGTCAAAACCGACGAGAGAGTCCATTATATATATATATATATATATATATATATATATATAATTATTTATTTAAAAATTATAACATAAATATGTTATAAAATCACTACAAAAATAGCCATTTTGTTTCAACACCTCTGGTGTCTTATCAAGTAATGATGTTGAATGTAGATTGTAAAATAAAGGTTTTAAAAGGTTCAAATTAATATTGATTTTATAACATATTTATGTTATAATTTTTAAATAAATAATTATATTCGCTCTACTCTGTATTGAGCACTCTTTTAAGAATAGTAATTGTTGGTTATTGTAATTTATTCCATATACACCAATCCTATACTTTGTATATATATATATATATATATATATATATATATATATATATAGTATCTACCTACCACCTAGTCAGGTCATCAACAAGTAAATTAAATCTGACTACATATACCAGCATATATGTTAAACCTTTCCTTAAATTTCTTGTGGAAGATCATATAATTCATCTGCTGAAACATACATTAAAAATATAGATGCATACCAGAAATAGTAGAATAGGTAATGTTTAACATTTACATAATAAATGTAAATGTTAGTTTGTCACTGTATAACACTTTTTTCAATTAAAGGGACACAACTCTCTAACTTTCAATAGCTCATGTTACAGAAATTTGGGCCTCCCAAGTTCTCATTTCTGCAATTGTTTTTGGCGGGTTTTTTTTAATGGAATTTTTTTTTTTTTTTTTGCAACAAATTTTTTGTACAATAACAATTTTTATAACTTTGAAATAAATTTGGGAATAACCCAAATTAATTGTGAAATCCAGCGAAAGTCACCGATGAAATAAAAATTAATTGGCAGAAGAAGAATTATTGTTGAACTTTTTAAACATAAGTTTACATATTAATGCAATACTTAAATGCAGCAATCAATTTTGTGTTCTTCTGTAGTTTATTGTTGCCTATCACATACGGCAGCAGTATACCTCATGAAAAGAAATCTCCACCAACATAGAACCAGTTTGCAATCAAAAGAGCCAAGGCTGCAGCGAGAAAAAGAAAGTCCCATGCAAATGAAAACCCAGATCAATTGGCAGCCAGGAGAGCTTCCTATGCTGAGAATATGCAAAGACTTAAGCACTCTCAAACTCCTGAACAAGCCAAAGATCCATTCAAGATCCCTATGCAGGAACTAACTTAAATGTCACCCTATTGGACAGCATTTAAGCTAGTATATAATATATTTGCATGGAAACTGTTTTTATTAACTTTTATCTTTGGTTCTTTGACTTTCAAATTTAAACACAGTACTAGATTGGCAGCTAGGTCTCACCATTTTATGGTTGAAATTGCTATATGTAACCATAAATTTTATGCTAACAGTTTCTTCTCACACTTCTTAATTATACAAGTCTATTCCAGTTTCTTGCTTTCCAGTCAACTACAGTCTTCAAAAATTTAAATGCAGTCTGTCTCTTTGAATTCCGTTTCTTTTATTTTCCTCTCTCCTTAATAATGATTTTTATCAGATTATTTCACTCTCAATAGCACCTTGTGTTTTAGTGGCTTTATCACCTTGCTTGGAGTGATATGAAAAAATAACCTATATCAAAATATGAATATGTTTTCTTTTCTTGTTCTTTTTTTTTTTTAACTTAAGTTTACTAACACTGGTGAAGGATCATTTTTTTTATAATTGAATAAAATATATATACTGTATTTTCTTACAAAATGGGTTTTTAATTGATCTATATTTATATAATTCATTTTCCTTTTTAATTTTGTCTATTGCTGCTGCTTTTAAATTTCAGAATTTGGAATGTCTACTACAAACACTAGGAGAAGAAAGATCTTATGAGTTGCTGGAATTTAAACTCATCATTATAAAACTTAACAGAATAACAAGAAAAAAGAATTTTTCTGACCTTGCCTACTGTATCACAACATCAGGTAGCACTGGTATCCCAAAGATGGTGCAAGTACCTCATAAGTGTATAATTCCTAATATCACTTATCTCCGGTATGTATTATATTGTTCAGATTTAGTCACAAAGTATTCTTTCACAATATCCTGCAGAAAGATTCCATAACTTCATTATTTTTTTTTTATAGCAGAAAGCTCAGATTACACATCTGTCATAATAATGAAGGTGATATTTACTACCTGATACTGCTATAATATAACTCCATATATATTTCAACAATTTACATTATTCAGACTGTTACCCCAATCTTTACTGTCATATTCACAACATTTTGGTCATTGTACACTTCAGTTCAAACAGTGTAAATAGTTACAGTACCTCATCTCAAATATAGAAAAATCTGTATATGTTTATTCATTTTCAGTGAAGTTTGTGCATGTATATACTACAACATATAAAAATTAAGGGTACTGTGGGTGATCTGTTACCACTTTTTAAAAATTAATTTTTCAATTTGTTCACAAATGCAAGTGTAAAAAAAAAAAAAAAAAAAAAATACTAAACCAAAGATTCATTCAGCAGTCTGAAAAAAAAAAAGAATTAATTAAAAAATATTCTAAATACTACATCAAATTTTAAAGCAGATCACCAATACCTAAATTAAAAGGTAGTGACCGATAATCGAGAAGTACCAAATTAAGTATAAGTTGCTAACCTCTGAAAAATCTATATTGTCCATTTTTTTATGTATTAGTCCCAATGCAAATATTAACATTAGTCCCAATGCTAATATGCATTAGTCACAATGCTAATATTAATAGACCAAAATATTATATATAAATCCCAAATATTATTTATTAGTCTCAATGTAAATATTATGTATTAGTCTCAATGCAAATTTTAATATTATTCACAATACAAATATTAATATTAGACCAAAATATTATATATAAGTCCCAAATATTATTTATTAATCTCAATGTAAATATTATGTATTAGTCCCAATACAAATATTAATATTAGTCCCAAATATTGATATTAGTCACAATACAAATATATTAATATTAGTCCCACTGCAAATATAAATATTAGTCCAATATAAATATTACTACTATGTATACTACTACTACTACTACTATTATTGTTTTTATTTCACTGTTATCTCAGTCTATTGATTGATTTGTTTTTTTGGTGCTTAGTTCTTTGTTGGTTATTTAGAGTCAAAACATATTTTTCATTTTGTCTATCAGATCCACTTATTTTTTTCTATACTTTAAGTGCAGAATATTTTAAGTTTGAAAATTTAGTCAGCATCTATAATAAGCATTTATAAATAATAATTAATGAAATATAATAAGCATTTATAAATAATAATTAATGCAAAAACAGCTAATCTTCATTAAGTGTCCTGAACCTTTAATAATTTTTATAGAGTAATTATAGCTTTAGATATCTATTGAGCACTTTATTAACAAACATTTTGTTCACTCTGACATAAATTATACAATTTTACATATATCAATAGTTTATAGTGTCACACATTGGCATAAGCAATAGGAATTCTGTTTGTGAGGCAGGGTATCAACAAAACCCCTCACAACTCAAGAACTCTTCAGAGAATCCTCACTGAGTAAATGATAAAAGTTTTCTTGAGGACTACAATGTTAGTCCCAATTCCAATTCTCCATTAGCACTTTTCAGTTTTCTCGTTAGTGTTCCAAGTGAACAGATTATCAACAGTAATTAATTCTACATTCATATTACATAGCTTCTTCAGCTCCCAAGCCAGATCCTGGTATTTTTCAATCTTTTCTGTTTCAGAGTTCACTCTTGTATTGTATTGAAACAGCAAAATTTGACACTTGCTATTCTCCTTATTTATAACAATAAGGTTGATTCTTCAATCATATAATCCATCTGTACTGAGATATCCTTTAATACCTTGCAACTATCATTTTCTACCACTGCCTTTAGCTGATGTTCATACCACTTCTCTTTTACACTGAAGCCAAACTTATGGTATACTTCCAGTGCATTCTCTTACCAATTCAATCATGTCAACATTTATACTCCTTCTGTGCCTATTCAGGACATTCAGTGAGTATGTGGTTAACTGTCTCATCAGCTTGTCCACACATCCTGCATTTGCTTTCTTCTTGTGATCTGTCTATCCTGGCTTTGATTGCTTTCATTATGATGACTCCTTTGCTGCAAATATGAGTGACTCTGTTTCTCTCTTTAGAAAACCATCTTTTACACTAAGGCCAGCTCTCAGGTCCTGGTGGTGGTGTTGTTATTATTGTTATTATTATTATTTTTATTCCCTTTGATTTCTGGCATATATTCATTTCTTTCTGGCTCCCGACCAGAGACCTAAGGTCAGAAATGACATGACATTTTCCACTGAGCAGTTTTGAAAAAAAAAAAAAATCACACATATTTTACATAGATAAAGCCCTTCATATGGTGTAGGCTGCAATTGTGAGTACAATTTTTTTTGTATTTCTTTAAGGTATGGGCTACCAGGCATTCTGTTAATGAGTTCATTGGAATCTTTTCTAATCAATACAAGGGCTCCAACTACAATAGGGATTGTTGATGTTGTTATTTTATTTCTAGGCTATTTAGAAATCATACTATTTTATTTAATAAGTAAAATAGTTTCTATTTCTCATTTTGTTTTTCTTATGTGTTGGTTATTTATGTAATTAGTGCATTTTAATATTTTTGTTATAGGGATCAGTATGGTGTGACCTCAGATGATGTGCTATTTTTAGCTGCACCTTTGACATTTGATCCAAGCATCATAGACATCTTTTTGTCATTGAGTTCCGGTGCTAGACTTCTTATCACATCTCATCATATCAAAGTCCAACCAATGAAACTGTCAAAAATGCTACATGACTATTATCATGTAACAATCTTGCAAGTATGCAATGTATTTTAATAAAATTTTAAGCATATTGAAATTTATTAACTGTTTTTTACATCATTCATTAAAAACCTTATGAATTATTCTCTCTGTAATTTCTTCTGAAATTCAATTATTATTAATAAAGCAATTGACAACAAAGATATTAAATACTATTTATTAGATTGAATAAAAAACTTGTTTTCATAGTTATTTATGAAGTTTTAAATAATAAATATTGCATTATAGTTGGTTTATATATTTTCATAATTTTGTAATTTTTTTTATAAATGTTTTGAATAAAAAGACTTTTTTTTCAAATTTATTTCTTTATAAAATGCTAAATAATAAATATTACATTGTACTTGGTTCACAAAATTTTATATTCCCACTTTACAAAGTAATTTTTCTGAGATTTTCCTGTAATGCCAGAAATAAATATCATGCTTTAAAAAATTTCCTTGGCATTATGATAAGGAGTTCTATGCAGAACAAGGAACACTTTACTTAGGAATTTTTTATGAAATCATATCTGGTTTTCTGAATATTTTGATGAACAGAAGATTCTTTTGATAAATTGTTAGTGTTTTACCTTTTTACAAGAAATAAATGGCCATCTGTGATTGGAAGATTGATATTATCCTATTAAAATGATAATATTAATTGTTTGGGGTTTTTTTTGGCAATAAAATGGTGCATCAAGAGGATTTTTTTTTCCTTGACACCACTATTATTTTTACTCTTGGCAATGTTTATTATTTCAAAAATTGATGATTAAAATTTTAATAAAACACACATGAAAGTGAATTTATATATTTTCTTTGCTCTTTGAGAATTTACAATGAAAATATTAAACACTATTTATTTATTAGATTGTATATTTACAAGAATAATTGTATATTTACAAGAATAATTGTATATTTACAACTTTCTAATTTCATAGTTATTTATAAAATGGTAAATTAATAAATATTGCATTGCAGTTGGTTTACATATTTTGATAACTTTGTATTTTTTTTGTTATATATATATATATATATATTTGTATAAAAATATTTCTTTTCAAATTTATTTCTTTATAAAATGCTAAATAATAAATATCACTTTTATTTTTTTTTTAGGTAACTCCAAGCCTAATATTTAGTTTTGGAACCAAGTTGTTAAAAGAAACAATTCTGAGTAGTATGTCCAGTTTGAGAATTCTGGCAATGGGCGGAGAAAAATTTCCACCTGTTGAAGTCATAAAACTGTGGAGAGCTGATGGAAATGGGACAAAGTTTTATAATTTGTACGGCCTTACTGAGATTTCTTGTTGGTCCAGCTGCTATGAAGTTATTGAAGAAGATTTTAGGTATGTTTATTTTTATGAATATTATATTGGTTGAATATAATGTTATTAGCCATGATAACAGCAGACAATCTTCTCAACTTATTAAAATATAGCCAAAGATAAAGAATAGTAATTTAAATAATTTTAGTATTCTGTTACCTGTAACTTGAACAATAGGGGACATGTTGAAATTGTTACAAGAAAAAGGTGGTAAAATTCATTTCAAGTGGCCAGCTTTTTGATTAACTCTCATCCAAGAGGATCATTGATAAATTTTAAAATGTTAAGCTCTAAACAGAAATATTATTAAAAATGAGGTAATATGATTTAAAAGTAGACAAAAAAGCACAAGAGACAAATAATAGGCCAACTTAGTTTATGCTGGTTCATTTCATGGGGTAAAGGAAGTTCTTCTGCTTGAACAGTGATAGTTGATATCTACAAATAAAAAAGGATTCCAAGATCCTTAATTGAAATATCAGATGAAAAAACATTAGCACAGGATTATCAATAATAATAATCAGGATCTCTATCTATAAAAGGCAGGATGTGTGTGTGTGTGTGTGTGTGTGTGTAACGAATGCACGGCCGCAATTTTCGACGGATTTGCACCAAAATTTACATGCACATGCTCCAAGTTAGCGGGAAGGCCAAGACTGACTTTGCATTTCCCAACTCCCATCGATAGTGGAAATAATCGATTTTTTCATGCTTCTACGGCAGTTTTCATGTAGTTTGTGGCCATTTTGTACTGGCCAGAGTGAGAGCCTATAGCTGGCTGCCACGAATAGGCAGGAAGATTCTATTGGCCAGTGTGAGTGCCAACAGCTGACTGACACGAATATTAACTAGCATGCAAAAAAAATCGATAACCGCATTCGTCACAAGTGGGAAAAATTTAAATCTGCATGGCACTTTACTCCAATTGGCTTATTCGCTTGCTTAAACTCAATGTTGATTCTGAGTCCGCAGAACTGGGTTGGGTGTGAAAAAGTATTTGTTGTTAACATTCTTTTTTCATTCAGTTTTTCCAGTTACGAGTCCTTTTTTAAAGCTGATCGTTTTGTGTTCAATTTGTTTAGTTCTTTTTTCGTAACAGATTTAATGTTTAGTATAGCGCTTAGAAAAAATTTCACAGTGTGAGATAGGCAAGAAGTAAGGCATGTAGCAACATCAGCACAGCAAAGGGCACTCCTTTAAAGGCAAGGAAGGGAAAAAATATTTTAAGTAAAGTGATAGCGATTGCTGTATGAGTCGTACGATTTTTGAATCAAGCATGGGCAATGCCAGGCCATGCTGATAGTTATTAATATTATTAATAAAAGATTATTAATATTAGCAATAATAATCAGGATTATCAATATTATTAATAACCATCTTGATTATCAATATTATAAATAATAATAATCTAGATTATCAATATTATCATTAATAAACAGAATTATCAATATTATTAATAATTATCAGGATTACTGGTAATAATCAGGATTATCAATATTATTAATCTTGTTTCTGCCAACACTTTCTCATTTGACAGATTTAATATTCTGTGATATGTTCAGCATTTTCAGGTTCACACTCCTCTCCAGGTCTTTTGAACAGGAGTAGAGGTTTATCCCTTGTTTCTTGTTTAAGATTGTGTTTCCAGTTCCTTCAACTGTATTTCTGATGTCTTCACCTAAAATCTGAAATTTTATTCAGTAATTATTATTTTTTCCTCTCCCCATGAGAGTAAATAGGCTTGCCTATCATCTGGATCACACTCCTCCCCAGTCTTTTGTTTCCTGTTTAGGATTAAGTTTCCGGTTCCTTCTAAAATCTACTTCAACTCTATATTTCTAATGTCTCTGCCTGAAACTTTATTTCACTCATTAAATCTTGACCCTTCAAGTCTAGAGTTAGCTGTTATCTTTCCTGTAACGCCCTCATGAACTTCACATCTTGCCTTTTCTTATGCTAATGCAACTCAATAACCCTCTACCTTGAGTGGCTCTTGGGCCTTCTATTGGGTTATTTTTTAAAAATTTTAAGAATTTTGTAATCTTTAATTTCCCTGTGAAGGTTTTAAGTGATATGGAAAATGTGATGCAAAAATCCAAATGTACATTAGAAAAGGAAAAGGTACCTTCCAAAAGCTAAAAGTATTAAGAAAGAGGAAAATTTCATTAGAAACAAAAGAGTGATATGTAATATCAGTCCTCCTGTATGGCAGTAAATTTGAGAGAATTTCCTCACATGAAGTGGAGACTTAAGGCAATGGATGTGCTGAAAATACCATGGACAGAGCATGTGAGAAACATGAGGTTCTTTTGTGGACACATAATGAGGAAAGAAGGCTTGAAGAATTTGACACTCACATGGCATTGAAGGCAAGTAGGAGAAAGGTAAAATATTGTCCTCATCTTTGTTGTTGTTATCACAACAATTCAGCCATTGTAACCTCCAGCCTTGACCAGGTGTATATTGAAGCAGATAACATGCAGGGAATTCTGAACTGAACCCTTTATTTAATCTACAGGGGTAGACTGTTCTCATTCCATTGTCCATGTCTAGAGATATCTTTTCTGGTTCTATATTTTTAATATGGCTCAGTTATTGCTCACCCTGTTTCCACTGAGTTCAAGTACACATTGCCTGCTCCAGGGATTGAACTCACAATTGCCAAAATCACTAAACTAGGCACTAGGCTATTGGATTAAAGCATTGGTTCATGAAATTCATGACATAATAATATACTTAAACTCAGTAGAAACAGGCAAGCAATAACTGAGCAGTACTAAAAATAAGAACTAGATGATACCCATCGACGTGCAGTGGTACGAGAACAGTCTACCTCCATAGCTTCAATAAAGGGTTCAGTTCTGAATTCCCTGTTGGTTATCCAGATTGATATATACCTTATGAAGGCTAGAGGGTACTATAGCCAAAATGTGATAACAACAACAACAATAATGAGGACAGTATTCCGAATGTATATAATGTAAATATTTTTATGAAGTTTTAATATTTTGATATCTAATATGATTATAAGTGTTATTTAAGGTATATTTTTTGTTTCACGGCTTTTTTATCGTTCCATCTGTTTTATAAAGTTTTAACAATTTTTTAAAATTTTTATTTACTCCCTTTTAGCAGACAACAATAGTGCCATCTTCCAAATGTAGGAGGATTTTATTTAACATACAAATCAAATAAAGTGAAACATGTGCCTTAAAAAACTTGGAAATCATTTAACATCCTACAAGTAGATCCATTTTGTAAAGTTTAAAGCTTTATATAGTTAATTTGATACTTATATATTTTAAACATTACAATTCCAGAAGAGAGCTTTTATTATTTATTTATTTTTATTTTATTTTATTATTTTTTTTTAAGCATTTCACACCAAGCAAGGCAAAAAGCCACTAGGACGCAAGGGGTTACAGAAGATTTGGAGCAAGATCAGATAGGAGTGATAGAGGAAAGGATGAGGAGAAGGATAGTGGATAGATCAAGGCAACTGGAGATACTGATTGACATTACATTTGAATAGTTGGAGATTATAGCTCTCAGTGAAACTGGAATAGGGAAGGGAGTTCCACAGGCGAGAGGTGCAAGACATGAAGCTATTGGAGTAGAAGAGATGGCTACATTTAGGAGTTTCGACAGTGAAAGGGTGAGAGTGGGATGCCAGCCTCGTAGGGCACTTGAACTCATGAAGTCTGGGAACCAGCGAATGCAGCTTCTTGGAGCAATTGCCATGAAAGTATTTGTAAAAAAGACAGAGAGAGGCGATGGCGCGTCTGTGAGAGAGCGACTGTAGACGAGATGCCAAAACAGGGCCAATTATATTGCATATCCGCCTCTGGAGCCTATCAAGAACCCCGAGGCAAACAGAAGGGGCTCCAGACTATATATGGCAACAATACTCCATGCAAGGGCAAATTGTTGATTTGTAGATCTGGAGGATCGATTCCGGTGAGAAAAATTTCCTGGCACGGCACAGGGAGCCAACTTTCCTTGAGGTAGAATGTTTTATGCTTGAAAATTACTTGGTAATTTTGTGCCATGAACTATGTAACACAACTGAAGAAATAGACAAATCAAGACTGTGTGTAATAAAAAATATTCTGGAAAATGTTTCTAAGTTCTAAGTAAAACATTGTCTCATTGTAAAACAATCATGTCACATATTTTAGCACCTTTTTTTTATTTAGCTGATAGAAAGTGGTGAAAATCAGCAAAATGTTGACCTTGAATATAAGCCTGCCCCCAACTATTTCATCATCGATTTTTTGTCACATATTTCTCAACTTATACATGAGTATAATATACAATACTTGTTATGAATCCACACCACTTAAAACGTATATCCCCAAAGTTATTCCCCTTTGATCACTAATAATAGTATCTTAATAATTTGACAACGTTTAATCTATTACTATTTCCATGGAATATACTCAGATAAACTATATTTCCTAGTGCCATCAGTTCTAATCTTTATGACTAGGACCCACCATACTATGCACATTGCAACAAATCATCTTCATTCTATTGTAACTTCTACTTGTAACCGACTCCCAAGAGGATGCTTCCCTGATCACTACACTCATAACCTGTTCAAGTTTAGGGTTAACCATTATCTTCCCTACATATCCGTATAAATATCCCCTTACCTATTACTCTGTAACTCTATACTTTGAGTGGCTCCTAGGCCTTGTATAGAATGAACAGTATTTTAAAAAATATAATTAAATAATACAAGCTGTTTATTTATTCTGTGAATTTTGTATATTACTACAATTGTTAGATTTGTTAATATAAGCTAGATGTATTCAGTTCCTAGATATTTTGTACTGCAATTCAAAACTTTTTATGGTTGAAAACATGGTAAAATTACAGCAAGAATATGAAAGGAATATTTACTCAATTTCTAATAAATATTCAGTTGTTTATTTTAATATTCATTTTTATAAAAAAATGAATAAATATAAAAATCTAATTATTGTAATGATTTTTAATTTAGTAATATAATTTTGTTTTTAAATAAATCATATTTTAAAACTTTTGAATTAGCTCAAGTTGGCAATGCAATGTATGATGCATCTTTAGAAGTCTTTGATGAACATGGCCAAACTTTAACCAATGGGTAATTTTTTTTTTTAATTAGCTCAAATGCTGACATTCCAATTGGCAAAGCAATGTATGGTACATCTTTAGTAGTTTTTGATGAACATGGCCAAACCGTAACCAATGGTCATGGATGGTTGCATACAGGTATGTATTTAAAATGTATATTTCAGATTTGTTTTAAAGTAATGGTTGGAATTGTTGTCAATGAAAACAGATTCTTTATGTCATCTCTGTATTAGATTTGATCTAAAATCAATAAATTTCAAGATATGCACAAATCTCTAATATCTTGATTGGTCTTCCATACATTTTATTCTTGAGTTTTTGAATACAATACTTTTTGCTCATTATGGCTCCTATTGAATACCAATTAACTAATTTCCAAATGTTTGAAGCAGTTTTCCAACATGAATCATTCTAAGCTATTTTTTAATCTATTGCTATTTCCATGGAATGTGCACAGATGAACTACATTCCTTACTTCCCCCAGTTCAGACCTTTACATCTAGGACCCACCATACTACACACATAGCACAAATCATCCTCATTTTATTGGTGAGCAGCTTCTTCTCATAACTGACTCCCAAGAGGATGCTTCCCCAATCACTACAATCGTAACCTGTTCGAGTCTAGCATTAACCGTTATCTTCCCCAAATATCCTTGTAAACTCTGCTTCTTACTTTGTAACCCTCTACCTCGAGTGGCTCTTAGGCTTTGTACAGGGTGAACAATATTTTAAAAACATAAAAATTAAATAATACAAGAATAATAGTTCTAAGCTCCTTTTGATAACAAAAGAAAACATTTCTGCTTGTAAAAAATTAAATTATATATTTTTGTAACAATTTTAGACTGATGTTACATTTTTAAGCTTCTTTATTTAAAACTCAGGTAATCAATATGTTGTTGTCAATATATTTTTTTTCCAGTTAGATGAAGCAAAGTGCCAGAATGGTTATCAACATGGAAAATAGAATCACCAGGCATTGTTCAAATTCTGTTATGTTCATTTATTTTGAAGTATGAAGATCTGACAGTCTCATTCACTTTTTGTCATATAGGAATAAAGTGTCATTGCTGACGCTAGGGTTTGAACAAGGATCACTGGAGAGCAAGCACAGTCAACCTCATCTTGAAATAATTAGATCACATGATGAGTAAAGGAAAACTATATATATGGGAATTAGAGGTGTCTGACCAAGTATTTTTCAAAGGCATTGCTATTATTGTATCTGTGAATTACAAAGTCTCTCCTACAAATGGGCATTACAAAATGTTTTATACTTGCATTATATGTGACATTTCGGTCATACTAGTGACCTACATACAAGTCCAAATATTGTGCAACAGCAAGAATCTCAACATAGCTACAGGAATATTTGCTGACATTTTTCACCAATGTCTTTCGTTTCTTAGACTGATTTCAAAATTTCTAATACCACTCTGGTACAAATATCTCCAATTATTTCTATCCAGGGTAACTCATTCGAAGTTAGTATAAGGCACATTGACAGATGAGAGGTTACTCTTTAGCTTGTCTTTATATGTGCGCCACGGCCATCCAACAGTCATTTGTCCACTGTCAAGCTGGCTATAAATGAAGTATTTTGTCTTCATTCATCCTTGCAACATAACCGGACCAGCAAAGTTCAAAAGTTTGAAGCCACCCCAGAATTAGCATGAGATGAACATGACAAGATATATATACAAGAGCAAAAATGTTATTGGTTTTTCAAAATTTTAAAATTAAATCTCAAAGTATGCTCATGAATATTTATCAGATTAGCTGACAAGTCTAGGTAAGCTATGGAGGACTCCAAATGACACATACACATATAATAAAAGTCAAACATGTTAGATTGATAAACATTTCCTATTTTGTTCTTTATCTTATCATATATATTTATATAATCTCTCTCTCTCTCTCTCTATATATATATATATATATATATATATATATATATATCTGATAATTCTGAACTCATACAAGTTGGACATGAGACTAGTAACTTCCCAACTTTCCCAGAAAAATGTATTTGCTACTGAAACCACTCTAGTGTGGCATTTTTGCAGCTGTAAGCTCTGTAGGCAATATGTTTCTAAAAATTTAATTTATAGAAATTTAAATAAGATTATATTTTATAAAAAGAATTTTTAAAAAAATGGAAAATGTTTATTTTCATTTCAGGTGGTCCTAATCGTGTATGTGAAATCAATGAGAACACCACTTGTAATAATCTGTACAACACGGGTGACTGGGTGAAAGTGGATGAATTGGGAAAAATATTTTATATACAACGGAAAGATGAGCAAATCAAAAGAGCTGGAAAACGATTAAATCTCCAAGAAATTGATTCTGTAAGTAAAATTTTTTCATCTTTTCACTGATTTGATAAAATAATGTTATACTACTTTAATGAAGATCTTTTCCTGATTCACAAATACGTCTCACCAGATATGTAGGCTGGATGTAAGTTCTAAGAAAGCAAAACCCAAAATAAAATAGTCATCTTCTGTGCAGGAGCTCCAAGTATCATATTTAGTATACAAAACAAATCCCCACAAAAATCTAAAATACAACAGCTAATCATGAACTTCCCCACCAAAAAAAAAAAAATTTGGACCTGTTAAACCACAGATATAAAAATGGCATGCTTTGCCAACAACAAGCAGTTAAACTCATCCACACACCTTGCTGTTGTCATTTTCAACTTCGAGAATAGATTGATCAACACAGCCAATGACACTTCACTTTTGCTACTAGGCAGCTTCACTAATCCACTTCAGGTCTGTCTTGTTATTATCACCATAACCTCAGTCAACTAACTCAACAAATCCGTCAACTCCCAGCCTTACCAACAACTCCCTTAACCTAATTACCTCTCTTACCAACGGCAACTAAAGAACCACATATCAACAATTTTCTTACCTTTTCTTACAATTACATATGCTGGCATTGAGCATTATGGATATATTCTTAAAATTGTTTGAAATTTTAATCTTTTTTTTTCTTTTCCTTTTTTTTACTCTTTCCTTTTTTTTACTCTTTCCTTTTTTTTACTTTCCTTTTTTACTCTTTCCTTTTTTTACTCTTTCCTTTTTTTTTACTCTTTCCTTTTTTCTTTCCTTTTTTTTACTCTTTCCTTTTTTTACTCTTTCCTTTTTTTTACTTTACTTTCCTTTTTTTTTACTCTTTCCTTTTTTTCTTTCCTTTTTTTTACTCTTTCCTTTTTTTTTTACTCTTTCCTTTACAATGATACACAGGTTTATATCAATAATATCCAACGAATCAGAAAATTTGATTCCTGACATTTGAACTAAAAGGAATATTTCTGTCCGAATTTCTGGGATGAAGAATTATCATTATTTACAAATATTTATTAATTTTTTAATCGGCTAGATTATTGTCCTATTGTCCTAGTTGATGGTTCATTAATTTGGTAATATAGTGACTATGAGTTCAATCCCTGGGCCAGGCAGTGTGTAATTGTAGAAAGAGGCAAGCAACAACTGAGCAGTACTAAAAATAAGAACTAGATGAGATATCCCTAGACATGGTCAATGGAACGTTACTAGTTTACCCACATAGATTAATGAAAGAGTTCAGTTCAGAATTCCCTGTAGGTTACCTAGGAAGACTGGAGAGCACAACAGCCGAAATGTTATGATAACAACAATGATGAGGACAATAGTCTGAGTAATAAAAGGATTATAAATGCATAATCAGGCTTTTCAAACAATTTAAATAAAGAAAAAACATGGCTAAAATGAAAATGATAATAAATGACTTTTAATTTTTTCATGTGATATAATTGTAGTGAAATTGAATTTAATTGTTGTTAATTAGATTAGAAAAGAAAGAAACACAGTTGCTAAAATATTCTAATTTTTTTGTGTGCAGATTATGTTAAAAGAACTGCCATTTATTGACAACTGCAAGGCGGCCTTTTCAGATGGAAGACTGATATTACTGTACAAGTTATCAGAAGATGAAAAGTTAATAAATAAAACCGTAATAGAAGAAAAAATGAAGCAAACGTTGAAGAAATTCCTTCCTTCTTATTATCAACCAGATTATCTAGTCAAAGTAGATTTCTTTCCACTGAATCATCATGGTAAGTTTAAATTTGTATTGTAATGAAAGATATTAACACTTAATTCAATGTTGATTTCTTTTTTAATTATGTTTATCAACACTGTAATCAGGGCTGGCTCATATTATACCATCCCCCACCTGCCAACTTGATTTGTTTTTGTCTACCTTCATTTATATATGCTACAAATTAAACTAAGCACGACTATTAAGAGGAAGAAAAATTTCCACGGATTTTGACATTATTCTGAGGGTCCCTTTTTTTTTTGTCCTAATCTGTGAATTTGTTTTACTCAAAAAAAAAACTCTAATAAAAAATTTACTATTTTTTATCCATAATGTTGAATGTGTTAAATTATTCAACTTTTTAACAAGAAAAAAGTTGTTTAACATTGTTGATTTATTTAAGATGGAATCATCTATTATGACATGTTTCTAATCTGTATTTAGAAACATTGTGTTTATTTTCAATTTTTCTAGTTGAATTGTTCACCTATACTTCATATTATCCATTAGTGTACATTACTGTTACAATAAAATTTATATTTTATATGAATTCTACCTTATGAAAAATGATATGTAATAGTGTCACTCTTGCCCCATATCATAGATTGGAGGGAGGAAGTATCATAGATTCAGGGGTGGGGCACAAGACTTCGATTTTAGCTTCATCAGAAAATGAAATATGGGTGAGAAATCTAAATGGAGTATATGCATATATGACAGGATAAGGAACAAATATGAAACATTTATAAATGTAACATGTTTCACTTTGATTTAAGTTTCATCAGAAAATGAAATATGGGTGAGAAATCTAAATGAAGTATATGCATTCCCGCTCATCATTAATGTTTCTGTTCCTAATTCTGCCTTAGTAGCTTTACTGCCTTTCTTCTGGACCACCCTTCCGGCTCCATACTTTCCAGCCAACTTTAATCTGCAAAAATTTAAATGCAATGTCAATTTCTATCTACTGTCCTCCTGATCATTCTTTTCTCTTCCCATTCATCATTAATGGTTCTGTTCCTAATTCTTCCATACCCTATAACCCTTATCTTTACTGCCTTTCTTGTGGAACTCTCTTTCCAGCCGACTTTTATCTTCAAAAATTTAAATGCAATGTCAATTGCTATCTACTGTCCTGATTACTCTTTCCTCTTCCCACTCATCATTAATGGTTCTCTTCCTAATTGTTCCACACCCTGTAACCCCTTGTGCTTAATGGCTTTACTGCCTTGCATGAGGTGATACTGATTTAAAAAAAAAAAAAGTATATTTTTAAAAATTAGCTGAAAATTTATGCATGCAGACTTTTGTCTCTCTCTCTGTCTATCTCACCCCTTATCTCCTGTCTCTCTCTCCCTCTATCTCACTGTACAATCAAACTTTAGAGAATGGGCCCACAGCCTTTACATGCTAGGGCTGCTGCTGTGATTTCCATAGTATTATGAACCGGAAGTTCTATGCTAATAGTTTCTTCTATCAGACTTCTCACTTGTAGAACTCTCTTCTGGCTTCTTGCAACATTGATCTTCAAAGATTTAAATTCAATGCTAATTGTTATCATCTGTCTACTTAATTCTTGTTCTTTTATCATTCTCTCTCCTTAATAGTGTTTTTTTTTCTCTCTCTCATAATCTCTCACACTTGGGTTTTAATGTGTTTGTTGCCTTTTTGGGTGAAATGATTAAAAAAAAAAGTATATTTCTTAGATTAGCTGAAAATTTATCCATGCAGACTTTATTTTCATCTCTTGTCTAAATATTAGGATCTTGTATATTTTTTGTGCAATTAATTATTTAAAAAAATTTCAAGTTATTTATAATTTAGCATCATTTTTTACACAAAAGATTTTAAATCTAGAATTTTCTAAGAGAAAATTAATTTAGTTTCCTGTTTATACATTTTATTGTTTAAACTTATTTTTACATTTTAATATCTTTTCTTAAAAGTTTAATTAATTTTTTTCTACTTTGAAAGGCAAGCTAAACGTTTTACCACTCATTGAAATGCTAAAAGAAAACATAGTAATGCACAATTCAGTAGAAGAAGTTTTCTTGGAGTCTTGGAAGGTGAGTTGTGTTTTGTATGTGTGGACTTAATTTCATTTTTTTTTTTTTTTTTTTTTTTTTTTTCAAGTTTTAACGTCTCAAGTAATACAGTGTCAACAAAATATTATTATAAACTGTTTATATAAATATACTTCTTATATATACTTAATATTGTAACTGTTATTTTGTGGATACCCATGTTTAAGTAGACGCCTTGTTTTTTGTTGGTTTTTTTTTTCAACCTTGCTGGAGAACATGTTCTCTTTATTAAGTCTCCCATAGAATATGCTGGCTCATAGATATAATTCCTACTGTCTAAAAAATGGCATCTACTCGAACATTGTTGCCCACAAAATAGTTTGGAGTAGTAGGAAGTAGTATTGGATAAAATGAGAAATAAATATAATTCTATATTTTATCTTTTCCAGGTTTCATTAAATTTGTCTGAGGATACTTTCATTGAACCATCTGCTAATTTTGTAGCAGGAGGTGGTGATTCTCTCATGGCTGTTCATTTTATTGATCAGCTTGAATTAAATTTAGGAATTCAGTTGTCTTCTCTAATACAGTCTGTACTTTATAAATCATATAATGAAACTCTGAGTAAGCTGAAGGAATTAATTTACAACCATGAAGGAAAAGTTCCAGTACAAGTATTGGCAAAGCATAAAGAAAGTATAAAAAATGAAATAGCAAAAAATGATGGTATGAAAAATGAAATAGCAAAAAATGATGGTATGAAAAATGAAATAAAGAATGATCTCTTATTGAACATTGATACATCAATTATGGAAAATGCTTATGCTGACAAGGAGGAAGGCTTAATAAAAAAGCTTGAAACACATTTGAACAAAAATGAAACTTTAATGAATGATGACCAAACTTTAAAAGCAGATTCTCTATGTCCAGAACCAAGTAATTCTGATAGTATAAAAAAATCACGTTCTGCTGGAAGACTTTTTGGTTCTAGTAATAAGTTATCAGCTGAAAAAAGAACTATGTTTAAAAATGAACATCAAGTGCCTCCAAAGTTAATCAAAAAGAAAGAAAGTGAAGAATTTGCATTCAGAATTGGTAGTGATGACAAAGATGTGGACAAATCTCAGGTAATTTGCAGTCATAAAAGAAAGATGATTGATGTGCTCTGGTCTTTTGATACTGGAAAATGTGTGGATGCATCAGCAGTGATCAGTTCATCAGGGTAAGTTCATCTTTCACACCCAAGAGGATAATCTTTACTCTTTTAAATAATACTGTAAGAGTCTACTTGTATTTTTTTTCCATCCCCAGAAAATTCTGTAAAACAAGTTTTCTTTAAAAAGTGATCTACCATATTTACAACAAAATTTGGCAATTAATATTAAATTTTACTTTAATACTAACATTTGAAATACCAATTTCTTCTACATTTTGTTTAATTATTTCACCCAAGCAAGGCATTGAATTGCATTCTAACTTTATGGAGTTGAAGGCATCGAATTGCATTCTAACTTTGTGGAGTTGAAGGCATCGAATTGCATTCTAACTTTGTGGAGTTGAAGGCATCGAATTGCATTCTAACTTTGTGGAGTTGAAGGCATCGAATTGCATTCTAACTTTGTGGAGTTGAAGGCATCGAATTGCATTCTAACTTTGTGGAGTTGAAGGCATCGAATTGCATTCTAACTTTGTGGAGTTGAAGGCATCGAATTGCATTCTAACTTTGTGGAGTTGAAGGCATCGAATTGCATTCTAACTTTGTAATTTAAATGCACCATTAGTTGCCATTTTCTGTCTTCCTGAATCCTGTTCTTTTGTTGCCCCTTCTCTTCATTAAATATTGTCCATACAGGTCCTGGAAACCTCAAAGTCCTGGAAGAACAGCTATAGCCAAAAAGCTCCTTGAAAAGTCCTGGAATTTTCTAAGTTGAGCTGCCTATATATCCCTTTTCTCAATTCATGAAAGTCAAAATGCCAAATCTCAGAAATTTGGCATTTTAACAAACTGAAATTGTCCTTTTAAGAAAATGTTTTTTTTAGTCATCAGTAATATTTGATAGTTATTGTCAATGGTGGTTGGTTTCCTTGATTAGAATGAGGTCATGACCTTTTAGTTACTTCTGTATTTTCTTATCTAAGTGACTAGAAAGAAAAAAGAGAAAGAATATGAAGGCATGTCTTCTCTTAGCTGTTGCCCTCACTCAACATGAAAAGAAGGAAAAGCAAAGATAAAAAGCATCAGAGACAAGTAAAAACCTCCATTAAAGATAAATCTAATTTACATTCAGTGAATTTTTAGTTGAAAGTAAAATAATAAATTATTATACAGTAATAAAATACATTTTAGTAGTGTCCTGAAAAATTTATCATTATTTTTTTAAAATTTGAACAATTGAAATGATATCCACATATCAATTTCAAAAGTAAAGTCTTTTTGATCTCGAGACAGCAGGTGGGTGAGTTCATGCTATAAAAATAAAGATACTTTACTCGGCTGTGTCAATGTGTATCTGTGTAAATGGCATTTATCTAAATTGTTGTCAAAAGCAACAAGTTTGAGAATCAAATTTGACTCAAAGAAAATATAGATGGAAAGAATGATAGAATAGAAAAATGTGCCTTTGATGTGTCTTAGAATAGGATAGAAAATACATCTCTGAAAAAATAAGAATGTTGTTTTTAACATTTTCAGGCTAATAATGACCTGTGTCTTTAGATTTTGTTGTGTGAAAATTGCTGAAATATATTAAAATTTATTTGGCTTTATATTAAAGGTTCAATCTGGCAACCCTATTCATTTACTTTTGCATTTCTGCCATAGATGGCTAGAAAATGTATAAACATGTGAATGACTCTTAGATATTTGGTCAGATGTCATTAAATTTGTGAACTTAATAAAAAAAAAAACAGAAAAATGTCCAGACCCAGTGCTGTCAAACGTGAATGACATTTTATTTCCACTGAAACTGCAGATTTTTGTGTCTGTTTTGAAAGACATTGAACTGGCTCTAATAAATGATCAGAGCAATAAACCATTGCTTTCTTTCCTTGCAGATGATCTTTTTAGCATGATCATGAAACTGTTAAGATTTGTAGAGGAAGAGCATACTAAAAAGAGAATTATGTTTTCCAAAATGAAAGAATTTGTAAGAATTTTGTCAAACCCAAACATGCATAAAGATGCTACAAAGACCAAGTGTGGATTCCTGGCAGATAGGGTTATGCAAAATTTATCCAAAAAAGGAAATTTATCAACAAAAGATCTGTTTGTATGCATCATTGAGAAACTTCTGGCAAATTCTCTCCTTAGAAAGCCTCTTGTAAAGTTACTTGCATGGCTGAAACCTGGATCTATATGTGAAAAAAAATTGCCACAGAAGATATTCTAAAAATATGTCTTCACCATATAATCAACAGAAAATCAAGCAAGCAACATCAAGCAAGTCTGATTATGATGATATCATCAGTTAGTACAAAGAATTTATGGAAGAGGCTACTGGAAATATTGTTTTCAAGAATTTCAGCAAGCATGAAGACCATCTGGACACATTATTCTACTCTTTGTCTAGCAAGAAAGACTATCAATAACTGGATAGTTGTTAGCAGATTACAGGTAGTCTCTCATTAACTGGTCTCAGTAGAGGAGGCTTTGTCTGAGTCCTGGATAAGAAAATTTCCACTGACAATATGAAACAGCAAACACAGTGCATTATCACGGACTATTTGGCAACAATTGGAGGTGCTGGGAAGTAAAAAAGGCAGGAAGAAGCATCTGGACACATTATTCTACTCTTTGTCTAGCAAGAAAGACTATCAATAACTGGATAGTTGTTAGCAGATTACAGGTAGTCTCTCATTAACTGGTCTCAGTAGAGAGAGGCTTCTGAGTCCATAAGAAAATTTCCACTGACAATATGAAACAGCAAACACAGTGCATTATCACGGACTATTTGGCAACAATTGGAGGTGCTGGGAAGTAAAAAAAGGCAGGAAGAAGCATCTGGACACATTATTCTACTCTTTGTCTAGCAAGAAAGACTATCAATAACTGGATAGTTGTTAGCAGATTACAGGTAGTCTCTCATTAACTGGTCTCAGTAGAGAGAGGCTTCTGAGTCCATAAGAAAATTTCCACTGACAATATGAAACAGCAAACACAGTGCATTATCACGGACTATTTGGCAACAATTGGAGGTGCTGGGAAGTAAAAAAAGGCAGGAAGAAGCATCTGGACACATTATTCTACTCTTTGTCTAGCAAGAAAGACTATCAATAACTGGATAGTTGTTAGCAGATTACAGGTAGTCTCTCATTAACTGGTCTCAGTAGAGAGAGGCTTCTGAGTCCATAAGAAAATTTCCACTGACAATATGAAACAGCAAACACAGTGCATTATCACGGACTATTTGGCAACAATTGGAGGTGCTGGGAAGTAAAAAAAGGCAGGAAGAAGCATCTGGACACATTATTCTACTCTTTGTCTAGCAAGAAAGACTATCAATAACTGGATAGTTGTTAGCAGATTACAGGTAGTCTCTCATTAACTGGTCTCAGTAGAGAGAGGCTTCTGAGTCCATAAGCAAAAAGTGCATTTCCACTGACAATATGAAACAGCAAACACAGTGCATTATCACGGACTATTTGGCAACAATTGGAGGTGCTGGGAAGTGCTGGGAAAAAAAGGCAAGAAGCATCTGGGAAGAAGCATCTGGACACATTATTCTACTCTTTGTCTAGCAAGAAAGACTATCAATAACTGGATAGTTGTTAGCAGATTACAGGTAGTCTCTCATTAACTGGTCTCAGTAGAGAGAGGCTTCTGAGTCCATAAGAAAATTTCCACTGACAATATGAAACAGCAAACACAGTGCATTATCACGGACTATTTGGCAACAATTGGAGGTGCTGGGAAGTAAAAAAGGCAGGAAGAAGCATCTGGACACATTATTCTACTCTTTGTCTAGCAAGAAAGACTATCAATAACTGGATAGTTGTTAGCAGATTACAGGTAGTCTCTCATTAACTGGTCTCAGTAGAGAGAGGCTTCTGAGTCCATAAGAAAATTTCCACTGACAATATGAAACAGCAAACACAGTGCATTATCACGGACTATTTGGCAACAATTGGAGGTGCTGGGAAGTAAAAAAGGCAGGAAGAAGCATCTGGACACATTATTCTACTCTTTGTCTAGCAAGAAAGACTATCAATAACTGGATAGTTGTTAGCAGATTACAGGTAGTCTCTCATTAACTGGTCTCAGTAGAGAGAGGCTTCTGAGTCCATAAGAAAATTTCCACTGACAATATGAAACAGCAAACACAGTGCATTATCACGGACTATTTGGCAACAATTGGAAGTGCTGGGAAGTAAAAAAAACAGGAAGAAGCATCTGGACACATTATTCTACTCTTTGTCTAGCAAGAAAGACTATCAATAACTGGATAGTTGTTAGCAGATTACAGGTAGTCTCTCATTAACTGGTCTCAGTAGAGAGAGGCTTCTGAGTCCATAAGAAAATTTCCACTGACAATATGAAACAGCAAACACAGTGCATTATCACGGACTATTTGGCAACAATTGGAAGT